GGACTCCACTGCCCTCTCTGCAGAGCATTTACCACCACAGAGTGCATAGGAAAGCTGCCTCCATCCTCAAAGATCCCACCCACCCCCAGCATGGACTGTTCACCTGCCTACCTTCTGGCCAGAGGTTCAGAAGTGTGAAATGCAAGACCTCGACTGAAAAACTCTCTTTTCCTCTGCCATCAGACTCCTAAACAGCGGAGGAGTTTATTACCAGGAAATACATGTTGTACTGTTTACATTCTCAGTTTGCACATGCATAATTGCACAATGACTGTTGCACATGCTGCTCCAATGCAGCATACATTTATTATATTCTTATATATTTTTATTATATTGCTGCATTTGCTGCTTAAAGTGCCTTAGATTTGTGTTACTGCCTATTTAGATTTGTTATTGCTCATCTACTTTATATTTCATGGCATTCATGTGGACAGCAAAGTAAGAATTTCATTGTACAGGGAAACATGTTTCCTAACTGTGCATATGACAAATAAACACTTTGTGCTGACTAACATGGCAGGAGTTAATTCATGTACAGTAACGGGAGTGAGTTTTGCACGTTCACTAATTGCCTGTGAATTCAAAGTTGTACGTCTTGAGTCAAGCCTAACCTGCAGCTGATGCACAAAGCCCACGTTCGGATTGATGCAGAACCTCCTCTCCTGGACGTGGCTAAACGCGTCCCTGTATGAACATAGCACAGAGTTACACCTACAGCCCCTGAAACACAGATACATCACTGTGAACACTAACAAGTGTATGCTATCAATTCAGCTGTAAAACTGTGGAAAAGCCAAATTTTAGAGGAGAAGACAAAATATACATAGTATGCTGTATATATCTATATATGACCAAACAATATCATTTTGTGGTTTTGGGTGTATGTGCATAAAGTAGCTTGAAGCTAAACTCCAGATTTATGTGAGCCATGGTGCATTAATCCACTGATTTACTCTACAATCACCCATTTAATAATAAAGTTAGACTAGTTTTCTACCGGAGCAAAACAGAAAGCAATCAATTTGATATAAGAACAAAAACAAAAAACACTTGCCTGTATTTCATCCCAAATGTTTCCATAAGGTATGCAATCACTAGGGCAGCACTGAAGGAATAAACAGTCATAGGTCATGCAGTTCACTACATAACAGGATTTAAAACATGCACTTAATCTATATTATGAAATGATGGGATATCAATGAACAAAACAAACCTCACCTTCTTGATATTCCTGCATTACCATGAACCAGTACCTTCCCTTAAAAAGCAAGACGAGACTGCTGGTAAGATTTTTTTTTTCTACTTGGCAATCTGAGGATGAAAAGTAAAAACTACCATCCATCCATCCTTACCTCCTGTTGCTAAGCAGCTATCAATAAATTCTTTAGTCTGTTAAGAGGAAAATGACCCACATTACATCAGGCACAGTTTAGTCTCTGCTTGCCAAGAAGGACGTTAAAAGCCCTCTTTGTAACTCACCTTAGGGAAAAACCGTATTACATTTTCCACTGGATTGTCAGCAATGTCTAATACAAGGTATCTGTAAAGAGACAACATTTAGTTCATGGGTCAGCAAGAACACACATCAATAAGACTGCATGTCATACAAAAAAGCTGTTAGCACAACTTCACATCATATGTTTAACTGTGGAAGTGGAGTGTCCCGATAAAGCAAGTTCTCACCTAAATGTATGGGGGAAATTAGGTTTGATAAAATTGGCCTCAATGTCTTGGCGGACACACACTATATGTGTTATGCCTTGTCCCTCAAGAACTGGTAGCTAGACAAAAGGAGAAGAGAAGTAACGTGAGCTATAAAAAATAAACACAGACAATGTGTTGGTAAGTTGGTAAATCTTATAAAACTGACCTTGCTTTTCATTGCACTAGAGTAGGGACCTAAAAAGAGTCCCGGTAATATCTCCTGAAAACAGAACAACAGACAACATCACTGACAGCACAGGCAGTAAGGAAAACGTTTAATGACATCCAGTCTGTGTACGCTGGTTCCCAAATCTGTCAAAAACCTGACCTCTGCATCAGAGCTGAACAATGCGGCTGAAATCAACTTGAACTTTACACAGTGAACATATTTTACAATATAAACTAGTGATCGACCAACATGGGTTTTCCAATGGCTGACGCCCATGTCAGTCTTAAGAGAGCAGGGAGGGTGATAGCTAATATCTAATACCCCCAAACTATGTTTCTTCATTTTGGATCACAAAAAATAAAAATAATTTTATAACAAATGCCAGTGTGAGTTTGAAGATACATATTTTACCATCCTTCATTCAGAGTTTGCCATCATGACCTTTGGAATCCACAGATTTGGTGTGTAGTGCAGTGAACCACTTAAACAATAACTTTGTGCTGTCAAGAAAGGCTTTCGCACAGACTCATCTTACATACCTGCATTTCCCGTCTCATTGGATAAGCCCAGTCCTACAAAAAGGGGGATTTAAAGGACGGTTAGAAGCTGAAGGAAATCCTGCCAAGTTGCTTTGTTACTAACGCCTCTGCTGGAGATACTGCAGTCACAAAAGGGGGAGAATTGCAGTTCAACTTTATATAGACAGGTGGCTAATACCAGGAGGACAGGCTATTCAGTGTCCAGCAACGTTAACAGTAAGAAACAAACACAAAGGGAAACACGACGAGGCACGCAGACCCCCCTCCATATGTTAGGCCCCGTAAAACGGCCAAATCTCCAAATGAGCCAGCAGAGAATAAGGTTGGAGTGTTAGCTCCGATTAGCTTGACAGCCGCAGTGGACACGGCCGCTAATGCACTCACCAGGAGGTCCTCCTTGGTCGCGGGCAGACACGGGAACTGAAGTTTGTTCTCCTCGTCCATTCTGCTGTCTCTTCGGGCACCGCCGGTCCAGCTCTGCGCGTGGTATCGATGTTTTCTCACGGCGGCGTTAGCTGGACAATCGGTGAAATTTGTTTCGAGGGTCCACATGCATGTCCGCCATACTGTCCTCTGACAGATGCGTCACGTGACCCAGCAGCTACACGGTAGAGAGAAAAGAGAACAACGGCGACGTCTAGTGGCCGGTTTACAACATGACAGGACGGTGTAGGAGAAAGGGATTTCTTACAGCGGATCAATGAAACGTTGAATAGTTTCGGTGCCTCTCCAAGGTACCCCTGCTGCAGTTCTTCCTGATTACTAACACACTGTAATCGCTTCTTTCAGCACGAAAATCTATACCTCTGCCTCTGAGCCCTCCTGGCTCTTAAATAATACAAAAAACAAGGTAAACGAGGGGCTGCTATGTCATTCTAGGTAACCGGGCAAAAGTCAGAACGAAAATGTGATGATAGAGCAGAAAAACGAAAAAGGACTGATATAACAGTATGACCAAGATGTATTTAAAAAAATCCATAAATTGACTGTATATTTCAATACTGCAGAAACTAGCGAGGCCTGCACGGGCCTGACCCAGATCCACAGCGGGAGGACTGTGTCTTGGTGACGGGACCGAGCCAGGCCACGACCGGCGGGGTCACAACCTGATGCCTCAACCACCTGAAACACCAATGTGTTCATGTCCCAACATGCAGGTGATCTGGAGGGAGATTCATTGGAAATTATTAAAGAAAACGAGGACACACCAGGGGCAACACTGCAACTTTAAAGGAGGAAAGAAACGACTGTTTCCAAACGCTGACAGCAGGGACTATGGAGAACTTTACCTGTGGGTTAGTTACAGGTAGTGTTCCTTTTCAAACCTCCTATGGGCCAAAACAGACTGAATCCCTTGTCTCTGGTGTCCACTGAAAATGGTATTCTGCGCAAACTTGCTTTTGAAAGCTAAACTCGGTCACCAGTTTGCAGATGCATTATGAAAGTCTTTTACCTCTTTCCTACCAAGATATTAAAGGTAAACACCATTTGGCATGGACAGTAGGCCTACTGCATTTTACTGGTTGTAGTGGATCCTTGGAGGTACTTGACTGGACGGTTTACAGGCTAATCTTTAAAATATAACACATAACAATGAAATAAAAGTAACCTGAGGCAGAAAACCACTTTCAGTATAATGATGTTACATTTAAGTACTTTCTGGCTACACACATTCTACTGGTTGTACTGGCCCTTTAGAAGTATTTCAGCTGGTATGAAGGTTCTGTATAGTTAACAATCTTATAGAGTGAAATTAAGGTAATTAAAGGCAAAAACCCTGTTCTGTATAAAGATCACTTTTTGACAGGGAGAATACAGCATTCTTCTGGTTGTACTGGGTCCTTTAGAGGTATTTAAACTGGTAGAACAAAGCCTGTCAATATGTGTGTCCCAGGTCAAACTGTTTTCAACATGAACACCTATATTTTTATTGAACTGAACTTGTGCAATTGGCTGGTCATGAATTACCACTGGTCTGTGGTCGCCACAGGCTGGACTCATTCCTTACAGATCTTATACAGGGCCTATAACTTACCCGGGTATTTTGACATACACTATGTCTTTTAATGGCTCTTTTAATGTTGTTTTATTTTACTGGAAAACCTTTTGCTTGTGATTTGCCTAATTATTTTATTGTCCTTATTTTTTTCTGTTTTGTTAGTGCGTATATTAAAATTTGACTGAGGGAGCGGCACAAGAATTCCAATGCAAATGCACTCTATGTTTATACGTATACACATGGGAAATAAAGATCTTGAATCCTCATGTACAGGCAGGGCCACAGCAGCACCCAGCTCTGCTCAAAGAAGTACTTGAAGACATCTCCCCAAACACCACATGTAATCAGAGCTAGTAAATTCACAGCAGGGATGTGAATACCCTAATATCATCTAAATGCAGATTGCCATCCCACACACTTATCCTGAAATGTGTCATTGTTTTCTCTTTCTTTTTAAATTATCATCATCTCTCTCTCCTTCTGATCTCGTATCAAATCTTCCCGTCTCCTATTTTTCCGGCCTCCTCGCCCTGTACCCTCCGTCCCTGCTTTACAATCACTTCAACATTGGTGAAAAATCACAGCTCTAAAACACAAACAGTGAATGAGGTTTGTTTGGTCTCTCAGATGTGTCATCTGTTGGACAGTGTAGCATGTGTGATTTTTTTTTGTTTTTGGTTTTGTGTGCAGCCTGACTCGTGGGGTGGCACCTTTTCCCCAGATCAGAGGGAGATGTAATCTCACAGTAGAACTGCTCCAGTTGGCAAAGGCTTGTGTGTGTGGTTCTTTCTGTAAGGGTGCATATGTTTGTGTGTCTGAGTAATTTCTCATACTTTTGCACTGTTGGGGGGTGGCAGACACATTCCCTATCACACACACTCCACAAAGAAGCTTTGAAGAATTTCCAATTTCCTCTCCTTCAGGAGTCTGTATCTCTTAAAAACCAAAGTCCTGGTTTCTCCCTGTGAGGTGGTTTCCCTGTTGCACCGGCACGCTGCTGACAACAGCTGTTTGATATTCTCTTGTTCCAGGCTGAATCAGAAATTAGCAGATTCCTTTGGCAAGAGATGACGGAGTGATGTCGAGACTGAAAAGTGGCTGATAACATAATAATTTAGTTTCAGTGGCACATGTCAATTCCCTAGCAGCATATTCCTCTTTCAAATGGTACACGACTCTCTTCACCAACATATAGTTCCATTTCCCGTGTTGCTTAAAACTGGTATGCCACTCCGTTGGCTCAACAGCACTAACTGACAAGAGACTCAGAGATGGTGAAAAAAGTTTGATTTACATATTTTGTTTGTCACTATGGACATTGTAACATAATAACATGTCTTATACTTACTCGCTTTTCTATGCAAGGAAGCACATTCAGAGCATTTTACACTTGCTAGCCCACTCCCCCTCACACACTGGTGATGTCACCAGGGGCAACATGGAGTTCAGTGCCTTGTCCAAGGAGACTTGGATGCAGAAACTGGAGCAGCATTTGAAGCCAACCGCCTTGTTCTTTTCTCCTACACAGCCAGAGGTGTTTTTGGCTCATTCTCCTGCTATAGGATGAAACCATGGAAAGCTCTGACTTCCTATCTTAATGTCCTTTTTCCAAATGATGCTTTAGAGGGTGTAGTAACTGTCTTTTCCAACACTGCTGCTACAGAGAGAATTTGTTGTTGTAAGTCATTAACAAAAGTTGGGACACCTGTAGAATTGTTTGTATCAGTTTGGGGTTTCATTTTCTTCCACTGCTGCAGAATAGATAGAAGTTAACCTGCTACTTGATCTTTAGTTTAGATGACACTTTTAAAAACCCTCTGCAAGTTTAACTTGTAGCTTTGTATCATTTAAGGTTGTTCATTGGACTTGGTATGACACATACAGTATTTTACATGTACTATATACTCGCTTGTCCGTCATGCACTTGCTCATGTGTCACACTAGATGGCAGTCAGACATAAACATTCAGATGCCATGAACCACTAAAGGGCAGCTGATGTGTTGAGCTTGTCCACATTCAGATGTTGATGGTGGCTTGTTTAGTGAATGTGCACTTTTGTGTTAGACATTGTGATAAAAACATCATATATGCACAGTCACTCACTTTATTTCAGTGTTCTATTTAATACAGTCTATGTAATATTAATTTAAATGCGAATGAGACTGAAGTAATTCATGAAAGAAAATTGTAAATGTGACATGGCAATATGGCTCCAGCTATATGAAGGCTGCTGATCAAAGTGACAAGACAATTCCTTGAACTTGACATTTTAAATTATAATAATAAAATTGAACATTAGCTGATTAAAGTTTGTGTTATCATTGCAAGCACAGGTTTGATGTGTTCAACATAGCCAGCGTAACTTGTATGTAACCTGTGACATCATCTAAAAAGGACAGGCCATTGTAAAGGAAGACACACATACAGAAGTATATACTGACTTCACTGAAGAAACCTGTATCATTTGTCTCTAATCACCTCAACAGCTGCAGTAAAACTCATCAAACTTCTAACAGCAATCTTCATAAGTAACAATGACTATCTGACTATCACATTTTACTGTAATAAAATGCTTTGGTTTCTGATCAGAGTGACTGCTGACAGACTGCTGGCCGTTAGCCTGGTCTGGAGCAGGCAACTGATCCAGGGCTAAATTCAGTCAGGATAACCGAAACAACTTATGTTTCGACTTAATCCCTTATCTCGGTTTTGTGCAATGCCCCACAGAGCTTGAAACATGATCTCTATTAACGTAAATGTCAGAGCAGCTGAGTGTGTAGGATCGGTTTGCTTTTACTAGCTTTAGCAGAGTATCAGGTCACTGTATTGTTGGCTCATGGCTATATAGATCATTGGAACAAACATCAGTGATATACATTTTTTCCATGTGTGAAATTTGCGTTCATTCCACCTTCCAGTTTTATTGCACATAAGGCAGACAGGCGCTTCAACATCACCACGACCCACTTTCACCCTCTCACTGGTTATTGAGTCTGCGGCTGAGACGCTGCACATCATTACTAAATTACTGATTACAGGCGTAAAGCGAAACAAATGAGGAGGTTGCCCGTGATGCTTAATTGGTAGGATGTAATAATGGAGCTGTGATATGTGGGCCCTTAATTGTGTGTTTACTGCACTATTTATTGGAGAGCATCCCTCCCCTGGCTGATTGCTGATGAGGGGAGCCGTCTTTCCGCTGGCGTGCTATCAATCCTGCTTCAACCCCTTAAGGATAACCATAATGACTATGTGTCTTTCTGCCTTTATTTTTATGCTCATTTGTTAAAATTTAAACAATTTGTAATTCTAAAAGCCTTGAGGCAGGTGTCATTGTAAAGATAACAATGCCTTTGTTGCTTCCAGTCCTATTGCAGTTAAGATGGCGGGTTTTTAAATACAGAAAACAAAACAGACATGTTCCGGTTGTCTTTCAGATGTCACACACAGTGAGACAGTTGTAATGTGTGCTATAAGATGGAAACTCACACAATTTCTCCTTCAACATGTGCGTAATGTCTGTACCAAGTTTTAGGTTGGTGGACAGGTTTGACTTGGAGTTATGACTTCAGAGCGCACTAACCGCCACCAGCCGGTTGCCAAGGTGCCTCAGCAAAATGGCCCCAAAAGCTCCCTTGATG